AGTGCTGTAATCCCTTCCAGTTACTTTTTATATGTAGTATATCTTGCAACCCATTCAATAGTTTCACTTCTTGTGATTTGCATTTCTTGCAAAGGAATATGCACAATGCAAATAAAAACCTGACTTATTTTTAAAGAGGATTTGGGGTATTTTTAGAGCCATTTTGAATAGGATGCCCTTTTATGCCATTCTCTTTATTGTTCTTGAATTGTTTTTGTTTTAATTGATGGAGAATAAGAGGAAAAATATGAAGCATCTGAATGAGCAATGTAATGTAGTACTTTCTAAACATGGCTTGAATCTTCCTGGCGCCATGCTGTAGCCACCAACAGAAGTATGATTTGGCATGTTGCACAAAAATGTATCCAGTGCTTCCTTGGGAAAGTATTCTCAGGTTGTGCAAAACCATCCAGATGGCACCATGGCGCAATTTGACCACACATCACAACCGATACAGCTACCCATTGGCTGTGGAGTAGTACCATTACCTGGCTGCCTTCCAGTTTGCTCCAAAACCAGCACAAATTTCCTGGTGGAAATTGCAGTCAGCCAGCATCAGAAGGGATCTCAGCCAAAATAACAACAACAAATTTCTGTCAGAGATATCAAGAAAAGAAGATGGATTTTTTTTAAAAAAATCATTATTATTGAATTTTTAAGTAACTGTACATTAAAATTTGGGGTAAGATGGTGAGGTGGGGATCTTGGTGACAAGGGAGGAAAAACAAAAAAAGAGAGAGAAAAGAGGGAAGGGAAGGGAAGGGAAGGGAAGGGAAGGGAAGGGAAGGGAAGGGAAGGGAAGGGAAGGGAAGGAGGGGGGACCTTTATCTTCAAGTCCATTCCACAGGGAGTTTTTCCTTTCTTCTTAAAGTTCTCATAATTTTGCACAAACTAAACTATTCTATCTGCATTGTGAATCTTCTTTCCTGGAGATAGTCTTTAAATGATGTCCAGTCCATCCTGCACCTATCTTTCTGATCCTGTAATAGAAAAGTTAAGGAGTCCATATCCATATAGTCCAGTAATTTTATTATCCAGGTGTCTGTCATCGGGATTTCTTTCTTGCGCCATTTGTGGGCTAGTAGTGTTCTTGCTGCAGAGGTCAGATAGTAGAATATTTTATCTACTTTAGGCAATCTGGCAATTAAATAAGACAATCAGACGAGTAAGACCAGCAGGTTTAATAAACAGTATTACTATTCAGGCCTAAATTCAAACTTCAATTTTAATATTTTTTGGGAGTGTTCATGTATTTTTTCCCTAATATTTTTAACTACTTTGCAGGCCCACCAAGAGTAGAAAAAAGTTCCAATTTCTTCCATTTCAAACATTTATTATTTTGATTATTATAAAAAGATGGAATGTTGAAGATTTTTGAAATGGCAAAAATGGGCAAATTGTCTACTTTGCTTAGAAATAGGTCTTTGGATAAAAATGTATTTCTTTCTTTAAAAAGCACTTTTGACCTTTATAAAGAAGAAAGAAGGAAGATATAAGCTTCCAAGAGGATTCCAACTATTATTTCTAAGTAATGGAGACTATATATAGATGTGTGCACTCCTCAGTTTGCCCACTCCAATCCATGGTTAGTTATGGAACAAAGTCTGTTCCTCAGACAAGCATTACGCCCATCACCCTGCAGCAGGATTGCTGTTTTCCTTAGAAAAAAGCCCTGAAGAATACCAATCATGAATGTTAAAGCAGTAAACTATGTGGTAGGTGTATGCTGTATACGTGAACTGGTTTATTCAGTGTGGCAGATGAAAAAGGCGAAGTTCATAAAGAAAATTTCTGGAGAAATTTGAAGATGTTAATCAGGGTTTCCCATGGGTCCTTTTACAGAAAGTCAGAGGCTGGAAAAATACTGATTTTCAAACTGTACCCCTCCTCCCCCACTGTGCACAAATTTTCCTTGATTTAAGAGGAGATCTCTTCTGAGTATATTTCATGCATATGAATGATATATTTAGAATGAAAAGTTTCTTTTCCATCTGCCTGAAACAATGCTGACTCCCTGTGGCCAGATATTGGTATTCCACTGTGGGTCTGCCTGTCAAATATGACCAAAGACTTCATCCCACTGAACATGTCAAGTGTTTGGAAGAGTAGATTACCATACAGCTCAGGCATACTCTGTTTTGAAATTAAATAGACTATTTTCCTACCTTCTTTGCATACTAGCAAACTATCCATTTTATTCAGTAATTCTCAATTGATATGCCATCATATTGTAGAGAGTTGTTCCCATCCACTGTTCCTCCCCCATTTTCTTTGTGATAAGAAATACCTCCTCTCCTGGGCTGTGATTTTTGTTCCTGGGTTATAAATGTGATTTCCACATGGGAAACCACATGGGAAAAGTTTATTAAACTGCAAAAATGTTGTCTTTGTGGGAGAAACATCCTGCTACAGCACATTTTGCTATGGTTTCTCAATGATTGAATATCTTGTAGAGTGTCCACCAATTTAACATAGTTTGTGGGCACATGCATACATGCATATGATTCATGCATACTGAATATAACAGTGCAAACAAGGGGCAATGGGTACATTGTATTTTCAGTCCTTATAGCTTTGTGAATGCTTTTAGCTTGACCTCTAGCTGCTGTGTATTCATGATGCAATATTTATGTCATTTTCATATCATAAGAGACTATGGTTAAACAAAAAAGAGAGAGAGAAACATCAAATTGGATCCAATAGCTGTATTTACCAGTTATGCTTCTGAAATAGATCCCCAAAAAGAGGTGGTTACAGAGAATTATAAAGGCACTGAATTCACATTCTGTGCCACAGCAAGAATCCTCTTTTGTCCCCTCGCTTCCCTCCTATAGATCTTCTCTCAGTCATGCCTTTCAAAACACATGTTCATCATTCATCTTTCCATGAAATTAAGTCCATGCCTTATGTACACATGAATAATATAACATATGTAAATGCTTACAGCGGTGATTAGAATCACTGTCCATTTACAAACACTTTCATTGAAAGTACCCAATAATCAAATGTATAGAAAATGAGATCAAAGATTTAGCTGCTCCCATCCAAACCTCAACAATTGAGAAGTAATTGTCTTTTTATAGTATTTGTTACCATTATTTTCAATGAGTTACTTAATATTTGCAACACCCCTGCAAAATAGGCCAGGTTGACAAGACAGTGGGCATGTGTGTGTCTGCATGTGTAGGCGTTAAACTACTCTTTAACATTTTCTACACTAGCCTTTGAGTCAAAATCAGATTTGAAAAGTTCCTGGTCAATTAAGCTGTACTTCTAAATATCATGTAATAAGTGGAAAGCAAAGAGTTTCATAGTAAGCAGCCATGGGTATTTGGAAAGTCTTTCACAAATATATGATGTAATAATTGCCTAACTTCTAGAGAAAGGGTTGGTATAGATTTCTGCAAAAACTTTATAGACATTGCCAGCAGCTCCTATGTCAATAGGGTGGCAAATCCATTCTGGTATTTAGTCCAAACTTTAAAGGAAACATGCAAAGCATTGAACCTAATGGAGGCTAGGATTCCCTCTCCCCAATTTCTCTGAAATCTTAATTAAAAATTATGGTTGCTTCTTCCCCACTAGTATGGTAACCACCAAGTACCCCTGACTATTCCCAGTTAAATACAATATTCAGTTGAAGGCATTTTCCTATATTCCATTATTTATGGATAACTGTGTACATGATGGATAAAGACTACACTGGCTGCAAATTTGTACATTAAAGAAGTGCTTTGAATTGATAAAGTTTTTATTTGCATTTTAGGGGCTGTTGCTACTTTAAGAAAATGTTTGCTGTTCACATTGTTCCCTGTGGTCTGCCACTTTTGAAACACCATTTGCTGAACTCCACACTCCAAATTTTGTATGTTGCTCAAGAGGTAAAAGGGTCAGTATAACCTGTCTCTAGATGAATCATGTGCAGTCCCTACTCCAAGGCACTGTCTATGTGAATTTGTGTCACTCACATATCTCCATTCACATAGACAGCTTATTCAGTTGATAACTGAAACTAAATATTTAGCTAACACCCTGTCTTAACCCTTTTTCTCAGTTGCTCTTCTTGCATGCCATCAACCTGACTTCAACTTATGGGAGACTTTACGAATGGGAGACTTCCAAATACTGAATCAAATCCATTCTGGTAGGTCACAGTATATACTGTATATAGTTATTTGGGAACAATTGCAAATCTTTAGTACCAATTAACAGCTCAGTTAAAAATTTCAATCAGAGAAAAGAAGGCTGAATGTGCAAAAAATAAAATAAATGCAAGATCAGTTCTGTAGCAGCAAATACGGAAAAGTTTGAGACAAAAATAAATTTGTAGTCATGATTTTATACTTTGATATTTTGCCCCATTTAGTAGCTCCCATTGCAATGTACAAGAAAAAGCATCCCAGGTCAAATAAAATGTCACCAATTCTTCTGCAATTTTGAGAGATGATACTATGATCTGAGAATTTGTCACAATAACCCATTTGGATATTGAGAATTCATTTTTCAATCAAACTGGCTGCTCAGCTGCTGCATTTTAGTCTCCAGCTTTCCTCACACTATTTTACTTCATCACATGTTTGCTGGATCTTTTCTTCTATTTACAAGCAGACTGCAAATTTTAAGTAGAACAAATTCAATAAATGCCTTCCAGATTTGATTTTTCATATCTGTATTCCCTCTCAGTTGTCTCTAAAGTATCTTTCACCTTACCCCCCCCCCCACCCCCAAAAAAAGTGTTCAAATCTTTCAGCCATCTTTCAAGGCACTTTTATCAACACAGCTGTGCTCCAAGCTCTTCTTTCGAAAGGAAATGGGAAACCTACAATTTCCATCAGCTTTATCAAGTATGGAAAATATAACAGATTGCAGACCAAAACAGTCCCAAAGGTTTCTTATTTCTGCTTTTAAAAGCAAGGAGTGCAGCCAGTTAACCATCACCTTTAACAAATCATATCATAAATCTATTCTTGTTTTTTGTTTTGGGGTCAGGTGAAGAATATGCAACCTGTAATGTTTTTCGTGATTTTCTGGTCCAGGAGAGATCAACATGTTGTTGTTCCGTGTTTCTGCATTCAGATGAGAAGATGTTTTAATATTCATGTAGCCTTTGAATTCTATGTTCAGATGATGGATCCCAGGGAGAAAATAGAGAAAGCTCCCTTTGTTTCTACAAGAGAAGAAATGGGGAAAGAACACCTTCCAGGATCACCAATTAATGCCCGAAACTAGTGAAAGTCTACACCAACCAAAAATGGATTGATAGACATTTTCAGATGGAGAAGGTCTTCCAAGACATGATTATCCAGTGAATATTTACCAATATTTATAAAAACAAACATGTGAGAACAGTCCTAGGCTGAGTGGGCAACAACCCAGTGCCATTACTGTGCATACTTTGTACTTTCATCTTGATTTGATTCAGTGCTCAGATTTGAACAAACTGTCCAAAATAAGAAATTTCTGTTCATAATTTATTCATAATGACTTCAATGTGGTGTTCTGTACATCTACCAACAGTGAAGTTATATTTTCTGAATGGATGTTGGCCCAAGCAGGATAGGTGCCTAGCTGAAAGATGCTCATCCCCCAAGTGTTGATAGCCAGGCTCAGAAGTAAGACTCCCATCAGATTCATAAGCAGACCTGTCCTTGCCTGTGAAGGAAAACAAAAAGATGAAGTATACAGCAAGGTTTCTGAATTATTAGTGGGAATCAAAGGAACCTTCATCCATCCCTTTTGTTTGATATAGAAAATCCAAAGCAAGAATATTCTCAACACATTTATCCTCTCCTTCAGAGATGGGAAACACACATTCTTTTCAATGTTGCTGAACTCAATTCTCATCAGCCCTTACCGCTGGCTATGCTGCAGTCCTCAAGTTAGCTCTATCAGAAACAAGTTTTGCCCTATCTTTTTGTCAGTTTTGGCCCATCTCTCTAATCGGTTAAAATTGTTTTGAATTCTGCTCCTGTCTTCTGGAGTATTAGCTATCCCTCCCAATTTGGTGTCATCTCCAAACTTGATGATCATGCCTTCATCTAACCCTTCATCTAAGTCATTAATAAAGTCATTAATAAAGATGTTGAACAGGACCGGGCCCAGGACAGAAACCTGTGGCACTCCACTCGTCACTTCTTTCCAGGATGAAGAGGAAGCATTGGTGAGCACCCTCGGGGTTTGTTCACTTAACCAATTCCAGATCCACCTAACCATAGTTTTTTCTAGCCCACATTTGACTAGTTTCTTTGCCAAAAGGTCATGGGGGATCTCATCAAAGGCCTTACTGAAATCCAGATACACTCCATCCATGGCATTCCCTTGATATGGCTCAGCTGGAATCAGCTGGAAACAATAGGTCCGATCCAGAGAAAATTAAGCATACTTGTGTCTCACTGAAATTAGCCTTAGAAGTCAATTGAACTTCTTATCCTGAATCAGGGCACTGGTCTTTCCAGATCAACTATTCTCTAGCAGGCAGTGGCTCTCCTAAGTTCAGCCACAGAGCATTCCTTTTATTTTTTACACAATGCCAAAATAACTTCCTACTTCTACTGTCTACACTTATGCCACCAACAATGTTTACTATCTACTCTAAAACAACTTACCATGTCTTTGACCATTAAGTGACCTGAAGCAAAGGCAATTGAATTTGGTGGAGTGGAAACTGGAAGCATGAAAGCAAAAGAGCATCCTATGGTTCCTGGTATCATTAAGTAGAGAGGATTCACTTTCAAACGAATGGCCTTGAAGAAACAAAAAAAAGGGGGGGGGGGAATAATATATCAGCTGAATTGTAGACACCAGACAAAATTCTAAATAATAACAGAAAATGGCTGTCTGCAAAGTTTTTGTACATGCTTCCACCAAATTTTATTTTATTTTATTATTTCTGTCAGCACATATCTGCTAAGCAAACCAGGGAAGGTGACATCATTCAATGAATGTAGCACACCATGGAGCTATTGAGACCACGTGCTGACCATTAACTTACGGCTCTCAGCCTGATAATGTTTTCCAGGTATGAGTTTAAAAAGCACTTTTGAGCCTCTCCTTTCTTTATATTATGACACGTATTGATATTGTTGATACACATTTACAGAAGAGATATGAAATGCCCCCTATGTAGGTTTTATGTCTGTGCCAATATCAACCTCACTTATGAGAAGGAAGGCTGATGCTAGAGAAGTTGAGCAGATAGTTGAAAGGTATAGTGGTAATGTCCCTTACCAGTTCTGCTAGGACAGGTAGAAAAATGATGATTGTGGCTGTGTTACTAGCAAATTCTGTGAACAACGCAATGACAATTGTGATGAGAATGACAGCCACAGGAGGTGGAAGGTTCTCCAGTGGGCCAAGACGACTACCAATCCAGCTGGACAAACCAGATTCCTGCAGCAGGGAAGAAAATCTAGAAGGTTGTGTAAGAGATTCTACAATGATTCAATCATATTCCATTTTTTTACCTCTTGTCACAAGATAATAAATTAGGAACAGATCTTCCCCTCAACATTCCAATCCATCTTCCCCTTGGAAATAACAGAAAGGTGGGCATATACTACTAATTTTATCATTTAACCTACTATGTGTTTTGTGTTTTAAAATACATTATAACTGTACCTTTGGTTCGCTTCTGATATAATAAATAAATACCTACTACACATCTGTACCATATATGGGGAATCTTCCCTTACTGCTAGTGGAATGATGCAGATGACCAAGCAACAAAGGTCAGAGACATCGTTTTGGGGCAGTCCATTAATTTGTATGGATGTTTAGCCATAAAACAAGAAAGTACTTCATAATAAAGCCAATTTCTGTGGCTATTTTTGATGATGAAGAGGCAACTTTCTACTTAGTTTTCACTAATTGGATGCAAGCTTTATGGAGACAAAAACAAAGATCATAAACTATAAGAATGCATTTGGAAAATTAAAGGCATTGGACAGGCGTACCTCACATCCTTTTGCCATAGCAAAACCTCCTCCAAGCAATAGGATTATATTCCAAGGAACACTTTCTTGGGCTTTTCTCCATGATAGTAAGGGTTCATTCTCAGTGTTTGGTGCTAAACAAAAGAGGTTTGTGACACAGAAAGAGCGGGTTTAGCAACACTTGGGATCATGGTCTAAAGATTGAAATCCACATTATTTTCCAGAAATTGATGGTTTTTGTATATGAAAAGGAACATATAGGATTAACATAAAAATATCTGTCTTTGAGAACTTTAAAAAGGGGGATTTTAATTAAACCAAATTAATACTTGTATAAGCTCAAGAATCCATCTGGTAATAAGACACTTTGGTTTTAAGAGTCTATCTCCTGTACTAGAAATCTGTTTATGACATTTTATGATGAAACCCAGATGTGTAATCATGAAAACAGACATGAAGTTTGTTTCATCCCAAGGCTGAAGATGTGCTACACAAATTGTTAGCCTTTAACAAATGAAGATATCAACTGATAATGCTATTTTTGACATTTAAATGGAAAACAGGAACAAAAAATAGAAGGTCAGCTCTTCTAAACCATTCAGTACTTTAAAGGAAGGCAAATGTTTTGATTCTGAGGTTCACATGCAATGTCAGGCTGAGGACCACTCATATACACATGGCCTCCCACTGACATTTCACATTCAATACCCCTGCACTTCCCTTTAGTTCCTAGATCACTCTATATCTAGATGTTGAGAACAGCTCTGCACAAGGTATGGTCTGCGACCAAGAAAAATGACCCAGTTTCCCAGGATATAGTGAAAACTGTCAAGGTCCTTGTTGCCCAATAGTGCCCTGAACAGAGATATGAACAGGGAAGCACTGAGATAGTGCTGAATAATTAATTAAGTCTTATATATCAGGATTAGACATCATGGATGCACCCCATGGCTTGTCTCCATTCCCACCTATATTCCCAACAATCTCTGGTCCCCTGCTACAGCTTCTAGAAAAATGCAGTGTTTTACCTTTCATTGACACTTTCTCTTTTAAGAGCAAAGGTGCATAATCCTAATTAATAATTTGGTCTTAGATGTTGGTTTATTTTGGGATTGCATTTGTATCTACGGTTTGTTTCAAGGCATTGGATGTTTGCATTTTTTTTGTTTGATGGAATCCTCCCTGAGTGCCCTCAGGGAGATAGGGCAGAATATAAATAAATGTTGTTGTTGTTGTTAATGCATCTTGTTTAAGAGGAGATTCACACTCCTAGGAAGCACTCACTTGCTTTTAAACAAACTGCATGGGAAGTTGTTGTAAACTGAAGCCTTATTTTGGAGCCCCCAGTGGTGCATCAGGCTAAATAATGCAGTGCAAAGAATAATTAAGGAACACGTGCAATGACAACTCAAAATGGCTATGGCATACGAATTCTGGATCATGAGATTTAAATGTTTATACTAGGATGATGTTATGCTTTGTCGGAATGTTTACATTTTATGTATGTTTTATGTTTAATTGTTTTAATTGATTTTAAGTTCATAGTTATATGTAGCAATTAGTTATTAGGATTTCTTTGTGTTCTGTATGTTGACATTGAATTTTTGCCATTAGTATGTTGTAAACTGCCTTGAGTCCCCCCCAGGGGTGAGAAAGGCAGTATATAACTACAGTAAATAAATAATAAATAAACAATCGAGCTGCTGAACTTGCTGACTGAAATGTCAGCAGTTCAAATCTGGGGAGTGGGGTGTTAGCCCCAGCTTCTGCCAACCTAGCCGTTTGAAAACATGCAAATGTGAGTAGATCAATAGGAACCATTCTGGTGGGAAGGTAACAGCACTCCATGCAGTCATGCTGGCCACATGACCTTGGAGGCATGTATGGACAATGCTGGCCCTTCAGCTTAGAAATGGAGTTGAGCGTCACCCCCAGAGCAGACACGATTAGACTTACTGTCAAGGAGAAACCTTTACCTTTACTTTACTTAAAGTCTTATTTTAAATAAAGGGTAAATGATCTCTGGGGAGCATTGGGACAGGACCTGCCAGAAACCTGAAGAGCTGCCACTGCAATAAATTGCACAGCAGCCTTAGACAATATGTAAATTGGGTTCTTTTGTCAAGTGAGTTTCACAATACATTGCATGAAGCCATTCTTCACCTTGGCACATCAAGTGGGTTTTTTCTTTCCCTTTATTTGCACTTTGGATTTGCAGTGTTAATTTTCTACTCACAGCTCAAATATTGTGAGATTTATGGCAAAGAAGAATTCAGGTCTCATTCCTTTCAAAGGTCTGGTTTGTTGGGGTTTTTTTTAATTTATAGTAAGATCAGCAACATTTAGCTGAACAAGAAACAAATCAAATCACATCATCCTCCCTGAATTTAAATAGAATTTAATTGAATGTTCTAGCACCTCATTGGCAGAGGGAGGAGAAGCACCACCAGGAAGGAAGGCAGGAGGGAGAAAGTATATTATGACAAGAGAATCCATGAATTTTCACTAAAGCAGAATTGCTAAAATGGAAACCTCAATTTTCCAGGGACAAAGTTTCAGGGAAAAACAAATTCACTGTACAGTTTAGCAGTATGAAACTATTTATATGAATAATATCTCCCAGAATTCCCTGATAGTCAGTGACTGACCATGCTGCTTATGGTATTCTGGGTGTTGATATCTTCCCAAGTAAGTTTCCAAAGCTCTCACTGAAAAGGAATTCTCCTCCATTTGCTGGGCTGAAAATTCTTAGCTTCGCAATGGCTAATAGCTGTCAAAATCGCAACCTCACACATAGAGTTTGTAGAAGTCTAGTTTTATGCTCAGTTATTACAGAAAACACAAATGATGAATAGAATCTGAGGTTTGGTAGAACAGCAATTTACCTTTCAAGTCAAACCACCATTTAAGGGTTGGCCTTTTTGATGGGAAGAAGAACAATATTGTTACTATCGTGACTCCAGTTACAGCGTCTGTGACATACCTAATGGAGGAAGAAAGTGAGAATTCTATATAAATGAAAAGAGTCAATTTTTGTTAAATTATGTTAAGATTTAAATTCGCAGTGTATTATTATTATTATTTACAGTATTTATATTCTGCCCTTCTCACCCTGCAGGGGGCTCAGGCAGTTCATAATGCACATATACATGGCAAACATTAAGTGCCACAGACACACAACATATATAGGCAGGCACACAGAGGCTATTTAACTTTCCAGCTTCATGAGGGTATGTTCAATTTCTGGCCACCGGGGGAGCTGTTACTGCACCGTCCACTTGTGACACCAATGGAGTACTTACTCATTCTTTTGTACACTGTTGGAGATTTTTTTTATGGCATTGTAGATTAGTTAAATTAGCTTCCCCACATAAGTGGTTCCTAAATTTCTGTCTTTCCGACTGCAAAGGTCGACAGCAAGTTAGACAGCAAACTAAACTCATAGTATTTCTATTAGGAAATCCCTCCTGCAGCCCTAAAATCATGGCACTACAAAACTAGTACAAGTCTTAAAAATGCAACCTGAAGCATGAGAAGCTCATAAGTTTGTTTGACAACTGATGACTGATAAACTCAAGTTGAATAACTACTGCGGAAGGTCCTGAGATCAGGAATGTTTTCTCTCAGGTCAAAGAGTTGGCTGTTCAGAAGGAAATTGGCTAAGCCTAATTTGGTCAGGAATTGCAACATGCTTGTGAAATGTTACAACTGGTGATAAATAGCAACTTGTGATTGAAAAGAGTAGAGATACTTACCGTACTCAATGTGTCCTTGCTTTCATTAAGGAAAAATACTTAAAGCATTTTCTTACACCCACTCCAGCAAATTCATTTGAAGAATTGCTGCTATCTTTAACTTTAACTGCTATCTTTGCAAGCAAATTTGATTGCTCTTGTTAAAAAATAAGTAACAGTTCTCAACCAAAACGAAATCATCAGCCAAAGTTGTATTTTCTGATAGGCAGAGGCCAGCTGTCACTATACCAGCTGGGGGATTCTGGAAGTTGTGAATCAAAATGTTTTCAAATTCAAGGGAAAAGTCCATCAATGTTTTACCACTTTTACTTCTCTATGCAATTAATTAATTAATTTATTTATTTATTTATTTATTTATTTATTTATTTATTTATTATTTATATGCCGCCACTCCCCTGGGGCTCGGAACGGCTTACAAGAATAGCTAAAATCTAACAAAATTTAAACAAATTTAAAAGCAGTTTAAAACAATTTAAAAACAACAATATCAAACATTAAAAGCCTGTCGAAACAGGTATGTCTTACATGCCCTGCGGAAAGCTGGTAAGTCCCGCAAGGCACGAACTTCAGGAGGCAGAGTATTCCAGAGTGATGCTGTGAAGGCTCTGCATCTGGTTGCTGTTAGACGCAAGGTCTTGACACTGGGGACTTCCAATAGATCTTGGTCCTCAGAACGGAGGGATCTCTGGGGTTGGTAGGGGGTGAGGCGGTCCCTCAGGTACATCGGCCCCAGACCATGCAAGGCCTTAAAGGTTAGTACCATCACTTTGAAAGTGATCCGGTGCTCAATTGGTAACCAATGCAGCTGTAGTAAGATTGGTGTTATGTGGCATCTCATCGGAATTCCCGCAAGAAGCCGAGCAGCTGCATTTTGTACCAACTTGAGCTTCCGGATCACCGACAGAGGAAGGCCAATGTAGAGGGCATTACAGTAGTCCAGTCTTGAGATGACCGTGGCCTGGATCACTGTAGCTAGGTCATCCCTGGACAGGTAGGGGGCCAGCTGTCTGGCCTGCCGCAGATGAAAGAAAGCGGTTCTGCTAACGGCAGAGACCTGGGCTTCCATTGTCAGCAGAGGGTCCAAAAGGACTCCCAGACTCTTTACCAATGATGATGGGCGTAGCGCCTCGCCATCCAGGGTAGGCAGCTGGATGTCTCCACTGCCCAGTCGACCCAGCCATAGGATCTCCGTCTTTGCTGGATTCACCCTCAACCTGCTGGCACACAGCCATCCAGTAACGGCCTCGAGGGACTGATGGAAATAATCGGGTACAGAGTCCAGTTGGCCTTCCATCTTCAGCACCAGCTGAGTGTCATCGGCGTACTGATAACACTCAAGCCCAAAACCTCGAACCAGCTGAGCAAGTGGTCGCATATAGATGTTAAATAACAGAGGGGAGAGAATGGCCCCCTGAGGAACCCCACAAGATAGAGGGGACCTCTCAGAGACCAGGCCTCCCCTCTCCACTCGCTGTCCATGGTTGTGAGGAAAGGAGGACAGCCAGTTTTAAGCTGTCCCCCTGACTCCAGCAACAGCAAGGCGGTGGGTCAAAAGATTGTGGTCGACTGTGTCAAATGCTGCTGTGAGATCCAATAACACAAGCAGCGTTGACCTGCCCTGGTCAAGCTGGCATCGAAGGTGATCCGTGATGGGGACCAGCACAGTCTCTGTCCCGTGCCCTGTACGGAAGCCGGACTGGAAGGGATCTAGTCCGGCTGTGTCGTCTAGGAATTGCTGCAACTGCTCCGCTGCTGCCCTCTCAATTACCTTGCCCAGGAATGAGAGATTCGAAACTGGGTGGTAACTGGAGGGAACCGAACAATCTAAGTCTGGTTTCTTCAGCAGGGGAGAGACCACCGCCTCTTGATACTCTTCACAAGGTTTTTTTCTTGGAGCATTTAAAAATCAGTTGGTGAGTGTGTTAACTGAAAAAATACAAAGCACAAAGTGGATTGGTTGGGATACGCCCGGGGTGCTAGCTGAGTCTGGGAGTTRTGCTAACAGTTACATGCTTAGGTTTTCTGTGCAGGAGCTTGCCAAGACACGTTAGTATATTTTCTGCTTCTGGGCTGCTGGAAGGAGATCTTTCACATGGACACCTAAGGACCATTTGAATCTCTCAAAGGACATTGTGTGAGTTGATGCAGCTGTTCACATGACTGTATATATGTTGTTCTGCATAACAAAGAGTAAACACCTTATTCTTTACTGATCATCTGTGTGGCATATCTTTTCTCTAGCAAGACAGTGTGTGGATTGGTAAAGCTGTGAACTACATGTGATTTTTATTCCGCCACAGGTTATAGGACCAGTTTCATGCCCAGTTCTACATCAGTGCCAGTGTCACTGCAAAAATTATTTTGAAAAGACTGTAGTAAAAAAAAAATCCTGAAGCTGTGTGTTTTGTAAGAGAACCCAGGAAAGGTGGAGGTGAATCTTGCTGCCTTTCCAATGGCAAGATTGAATCCCAGTAACTACTCTGTTTGGAGATTGAGATTTGTTACCTAAGGAGAGAATCCTTATGGGAGTGCACAGTTTTGTACATATATCTACTGGATGTGTTTCAGAAGGTGTGTTTCAGAATGTCTATAAACTAGCTGCCAACCTTTTTCCCACTACTCCTCAATCCCCCACCACCACCCCCCCACCCCCACCCCCAATAACATTGAAAATTGTATTTTAACTGCATTTTTCTGGTCAGGTTTCATCAGATTAATGAAATATCCGTGATCCAAAGAAGATTCTGCATGCATGTGGTACCAAAAACTTTTTTTCCATAATTCTGATACTGAGATACAATATCCCACCAATAGAAGCAATATGGTGTAGGAGGGCATATGAAAGGGACTTCTCAACTGTTGCGTCCAAACTGTGGAATGCCCTTCCCTTGGAAATGCAATTGGCACCAAGTTTAGTTTCTTTCCAATTTGGCATTCTCAAGTTTTCTTAGTTATGTGAAAAGATTCGAATATAATATATGCAGTTTCTATTGAGGACTGAGAAAAGTCAGCCAACCATGTAATTTAAGTCTTCGATATAAATAGTATTCCCAGAGGCATGACAATTTACTATGAATGCATTTGAATGGGGAAGACTTTCCTACGTATACAGGAATATCTCGCTAATATGGTTGGTTAGGTTTCAGACCACTACTTGAAAACAAATATTTCCTTAAAGTGAACCGCATCCTTTTTTTCACTTGTCAATGTACATAAAGGCCTAATGTTTACACAATCCTTTATTAAGTGTGAAATAGTGCATTAAAAAGGCACAAAAGTAAAAAGAATTTTCCAGAACATGAATGTGAAATACAAAATACACTAATGTTGGAAATTTGACTGAATGCAGGTAGCAAAATGGCACTGCGTTGTATAATTAAAAAAAAAACCTCTTACTATATCAGTAAAGCATTCTACAGCAAAGCACTTTAAAACAAGATACACCTGTATGCTATGATTATATCTCTGGACTTCAAATAGTCATATAATTGCATTTGCTTTGGCAGATGAACAACTAAATGGCTCTCTCAAGAGACGTGAGCATTTCTGCTAGTGGGCTTAGCAATGCCAGGACACAACATGAAAGAGTCTAGATATCCAAACATATAAATGATGGGAAATTCTTACCCTGGTGTGAATAAACTTGCCCATCCTGTGATGAATTTAGGATCCCTGGAGAAGAGCAGGATGGCAAATAAGCAGAAAAGAACAAATACTGCCTGTTCAGCAAACCTGTAGCAAATGAAAGTGCAATGAACCATCATAACCAAGGAATTGTATTTTTACACTCAGTCTTGCATAAGCATAAGTTCAGCGAGAAGGAGCAGAGGCCCAGAAAGATGAGTTAAGCTGAAATGGCTGTAATGTGCAAAAGAAAATTAATTATTCAACATAAAACACAGAAACAGCCTCATATTTTCTCCTAAAGGAAAAATACAAGGCAAAGAAATCATTTTGTCAATATGTACATATGAGAGACAAAAATATAATGTTGGAAGAATTAGAGGTATAAATTGCTGAGGTATTTTACCCTTTATTGAAAGAGAAGAAGTAAATATTTCCTTGCATATTGGACAGAAAAATATAAAACTACATGAAAACCGATTACAGAAAAGTGTGAAATCATTTTAATTAAAATTTCAGTGGGTTGTTATAGGTTTATTGGGCTATATGGCCATATTCTAGAAGCATTCTCTCCTGATGTTTTTCCTGCATCTATAGCAGACATCCTCAGAGGTTGTGAGGTCTGTGGGAAACTAGGAAAAATAGGTTTATATATCTGTGGAAGGTCCAGGGCGGGAGAAAGAACTCTTGTCTGTTGGAGATAGATGTGAATGTTTCAATTGGCCACCATGATTAGCATTTGATGGCCTGTCAGTTTTTAGGTGTGGCTTGTTCGTACCTGATGGAATCCTTTGTTGAGAGGTGATTGGCTGTCCCTGATTGTTTCCTGTTAGGAGTTACCCTATGTTTGAGTGTTTTTTTTATTGTTATAATTTAAGATTTTTTTTAATACTGGTAGCCAGATTTTGTTCATTTTCATGGTTTCTTCCTTTCTGTTGAAATTGCCCACATGCTTATGGATTTCAATGGCTTCTCTGTGTAGTCTGACATGGTGGTTGTTAGAGTGGTCCAGCATTTCTGTGTTCTGAAATAATATGCTGTGTCCAGGTTGGTTCATCAGGTGCTCTGCTATGGCTGACTTCTCTGGCTGAAGTAGTCTGCAGTGCCTTTCATGTTCCTTGATTCGTGTTTGGGCAATGCTGCATTTGGTGGTCCCTATGTAAACTTGTCCACAGCTGCACGGTATATGGTAATATTTCAGTATATGTTATGCAAAAAACAGGATGTGAAAGCTATCCTATAAGCAACCAGGAGTGGTAATTCACATTTTAAATACATCATAACCTCTGCACTATGTATAGAACCATAGAATCATAAAGCTGGAAGAGACCCTGTAGGACATCCAGTCCAACCCCCTGCCAAGAAATAGGAAAATCATATTCACAGCACCCCTGACAGATGGCCATCCCGCCTCTGTTTCAAAGCCTCCAAAGAAGGAGCCTCCACCACACTATGGGGTAGAGAGTTCCACTGCTGAACAGCTCTCACAGTGAGGAAGATCTTCCTTATGTTCAGGTAGAATCTCCTTTCCTGTAGTTTGGAGCCATGGTTCCACATTCTAGTCTACAGGGCAGCAGAAAACAAGCTTGCTCCCTCCTCCCTATGACTTCTCACATATTTTTGCATATTTACTTATTTACTTATTTTAGAAACCCATACTTAAATATCAGAACTGGACAGTTGTTTTTACTTTCATATTTCTTATTGTTTGTTTATTTACAGTCCATGCAGTTCTCAGAGGGCTGAAGTAGCAAAACAACTGGCCCTCAGATCAGTTGAAGTTGTTGAGCCTGTTATTACTAAATGCATAGAAGCAAAATTGTTGAATTATACCTTGCATTATCTATCTTGTAAAGACTAGAAGCTCCTCATCAGATTTAAAGAAGGAGAGATACAAAAACCATTTGGAAGAAATCTGGAGTAGCTAATCAAATTGGAAGCAGCTGACTTAATGGACTTTCTATGCTGTTAGAATGAGAAAGAAGCCTTTGATTTTTCCAATGACACTTTGCAGGTTGCTGGTATAAAATAGCTTGAAGAGCCCATTTCATAACCTTTGAAGTCTTTGTAAAGCATTTTTCAGGTTCTATTGTATTGTTTAGTTTTGCACTGTTAAGACCCAGTACGTGTAAAAACAAATCATCAGATAGAAAAATAATAACAAAACCAGAGCACAATGAAGTTATTTTTAAAGATTACATCTCCATAAAACTGCCAACTTATCACTGGTAGAATTCTAGATATTGAAGCTAAAAAAGAAACTTTTCCAAGTTCTGAATAAAATAAGGAAAATCTAGAACTGAGGTGAGCAATAGAAACAATTTTCAATGAAGTAATATCCTAAAAGGCTTAATTTGTTTTTGCACTTCCATCTACCAATTAAATAAGAGTAAATCAAGGCATAGATTTCATTTGAACTACTCCAGAGAATAGCTGTACAGAATGCAAGGATCTTAAGTATACAGGCAGTCCCCAAGTTACAAACAAGATAGGATCTGTAGGTTTGTTCTTAAGATGAATTTGTATGTAAATTGGAACAGATACAATTCAAGAGTAAAAATGTTGGCTTGTTGTGTAAACAAGGATTGGTGGTAAGGCTTTGGTTGAGACACCTTGATAACTCTTTCAAGTATGAATTTCTCTCCTGAGGGGTAGAAGGCATGATCTTCAAGTTTGCAGACAACACCAAGTTGGAAGGGATAACTTCGCTAATACCCCAGGAGACAGGAGCAGAATTCAAAATGACCTTAACAAATTAGAGAGATGGGCCAAAGCTAACAAAATGAAGTTCAACAGTGTCAGATGCAAGATACTCCACTTATGCAGAAAAAATGAAATGCAAAGATACAGAATGGGGGACACCTGGCTTGACAGCAGTATGTGTGAAAACAATCTTGGAGTCCTCTCGGACAACAAGTTAGATATGAGCCAACAATGTAATGTTGCTGTTGTTTATTCATTCAGTCGCTTCTGACTCTTCGTGACCTCATGGACCAGCCCACGCCAGAGCTGCCTGTCAGCCATCACCACAGCTCCTTCAGAGTCAAACCAGTCACTTCAAGGACACCATCCATCCATCTTGCCCTTGGTCGGCCCCTCTTTCTTTTTCCTTCCATTTTCCCCAGCATCACTGTCTTCTCTAAGCTTCCCTGTCTTCTCATTATGTGGCCAAAGTACTTCAACTCTGCCTCTAATATCCTCCCCTCCAGTGAGCAGTGGGGCTTTATTTCCTGAAAGATGAACTGGTTGGATCTTCTGGCAGTCCAAGGCACTCTCAGAATTTTCCTCCAACACAACAGTTCAAAAGCATCTATCTTCCTTTGCTCAGCCTTCCCTATGGTCCAGCTCTCACATCCGTAGGTGACTACGGGGAATACCATTGCTTTAACTATGTGGATCTTTGTTGTCAGTGTGATGTCTCACTATTTTATTGGGATTGGACATCGCTCTCCTCCAAAGAAGTAAACGTCTTCTGATTTCCTGGCTGCAACAATGTCATGTGGTGGCAAAAAAAGCCAATGGGATTTTGTCCTGCATAAATACAAGTATTGTGTCTAAAGCCAGGGAAATCATGCTACCCCTCTATTCTGCCTTGGTCAAACCACAGCTGGAATACTGTGTCCAGTTCTGGGCATCGCAGTTTAAGGGAGATGTTGACAAGCTGGAATTTGTCAAGAGAAGGGCGACTAAAATGATCAGGAATATGAAGAACAAGCCCTATGAGGAGCAGCTTGAATAGTTGTGCATGTTTAGCCTGAAGAAGAGAAAAATGAAAGGAGACATGATGGCTATATATCAGTATGTGAGGAGAAGTCATAGAGAGGGAGCAACCTTGTTTTCTGCTGCTCTAGAGACTAGGACGCAGAACAATGGCTTCAGACCACAGGAAAGGAGATTCCACTTGAACATTAGGAAGAACTTCCTAACTGTAAGAGTTGTTCAGCGGTGGAACTCTCTTCCCAGAAGTGTGGTGGAGGCAGAGGCGGTCCTAGGTAATTTTCAATGGTAAGCAAACAGTATTTTGGGGGGCCCCAACCAATCACTGATATATATTTTCTGTTCGTCGTGGGAGTTCTGTGTGCCATATTTGGTTCAATTCAATCATTGGTGGAGTTCAAATACTCTTTGATTGTAGGTGAACTATACATCCCAGTAACTACAACTCACATATGTCAAGGTCTATTTTCCCCCAAGAGTGCCTCAAGAGTGCCCCTGGGAAAAATCAGCTATACTGCAAATGCTTACTTTGCATAATGGGTTGAGCCGCCCCTGGGTGGAGGATCCTTCTTTGGAGGCTTTTAAACAGAGACTGGATGGACATCTGTTGGGGGTGCTTTGAATGTGATTTTCCTGCTTCTTGGCAGGGGGTTGGACTGGATGCCCCATGAGATCTCTTCCAACACTATGATTTTATAATTTCTCTCATTTCCTGTTATCTCACCCCTATTCTTACCTATGAGTCATTTGTAAGTCAGATGTTTGCAACTTGGGGATTGCCTGTACCTGCTTTTTTTCAGGAATCTTTTCAGGATCTATTTTCTTCTGTAATACAATGGGATTTCTAAGATCTATTACAATTTTAGGCATGCCTTAAAATACCTATGTGAACACACCAGTAGGGACATGATTGCATTGACACTGCCCATATCATAGTTTTTTACTACTGGCAGGTAGTCCCTTATGACATGAGTTCCAATGAATCATTTGGGCCACAGAGTTGTGCATCTGTTTGTAGTCTGTGTGATTTTCTTGCTCCAGCTGAGGATATGATCAATGGTTTCATCAGCTTCCTTGCAGAGTCTGCATTTTAGGTCATCAGCTGATTTATTTAAAATTATTATTATTTGGGGTAAAAATATATTTTTGCCATCCAGTTACAGAACTTCAAAAATGGTAGGAATTCCCTTTAAAATCCTTAGATGTCATTCTGGAACATTTTGTAACAAAAAAGTTATTGAGTTAAGGACAAAATTGTCCCTGTGGGCCCATGCTGCCTTCAGGCCACACTTTGTTTCCACCTCTCTACACTTGCACCCCTCATAAAATTCCTCCAGACACAGATATGGCAGTGTAGAAGGGGCTTGAGCCATAAAGGAAGAATCAGGCAGTGTGTGTCTTCAGCAGTTCCGATGCTGATGTATATTCTCAAATATAGCTTCTCAAATATAAAAACAAAATTGGCCAGCTGCTGAAGGTGCATCTTAAAGAGTTCATCTGACTACATATGGAAGTTAATGGGATGAAACTGAATAATTTATGACATCAAACCCAGATGGTTTCTTGTGCAGAACTCTTCTAGCTCCTGTACTCATTACATAAATGATTATTCATGAAGTCTTCAGCACATCACTTATTTGTGGATCATTCATGAGTAGACCGTACTATACATTTTCAAAATTCAGTGGACTGACTAATTAGATAATTAGCTTCTTCCTTGCTTAAATAATTCGGCAGAGGTAATTAAACTACATGTCATCTACTTCAGGTTCACTCTGAAATTCACTCAATGACGATTTTAGTTGTTATCAGTCTTCAAGTCAATTTCGACTTAAGATGACCCTATGAATGAGAGACCTCCAAGTCTAGAGATCTATATTTTCCCCTATACATAAGCATTGGCCTACTATTTGCTAACTGATTCAATTGGTCAACTCTAATAGACTAAAAGCTTGTTTTAGGCTTCTGTAGCAAGGATCCTGTTGATAGAAATTTCCTTATGCAAACATTCTCATTTGGGGGTTCAATTTACCACTGCAATAAACTGAGTTGTGCAGAATTCTGCCATAACCATTGCTCGTGCAGTTTCACATTCTCAAGTGGGGCATACATGTTTGTTCATTCTTCCAATCTAACTCTTGTTTCACTGTGCATTCTCTCTTACACAATGGAACAATAAGTAAGCATACTGACAGATAACACAATAAATTACATAGCATTCAGAAAAAGGATGGTATAGTGTAACACCTGTGTGTGGGTTGATTTACACTACACAACTGTGATGTAGGATGTTGGCATAAAAGATTCCTTTCCCCAGGCCTATGTCTAAAAAACTAAAAAGGGAGGTCAGAAATGTATAGGAAACATTACTTTTTTCAGATTACAATTACATAGGGGATTTTACCAGTTGACATTCAAGATGTAACTTTTTCATGTGCAGAATTTTCATATCCTAAGGCATAGATGGACAACCTATAGTTCCCAGCTGACTCTACAATGTCTTGTGACAGTGTAAAATTTAAGATAAAACCCTTATTACCTAAAGGGTGATTAGTAAAGGTAAAGGTTCCCTCTGACATTAAGCCTAGTCGTGTCCGACTCTGGGTGGTGGTGCTCATTTCCATTTTTAAGCTGAAGAGCCGGCGTTGTCTGTAGACACCTTCAAGGTCATGTGGCAAGCATGACTGCCTGGAGCACTGTTACATTCCCACAGAAGTGGTACCTATTGATCTACTCACATTTGCATGTTTTCAAACTGCTAGGTTGGCAGAAGATGAGGCTAACAGCAGAAACTCACTCCGCTCCCCAGACTTGATCTGCCAACTTACGTCAGTTCAGCAGCTAAGCAGTTTGACCCACAGTGCCACCAGGGCCCCTCAAAGGATGATTACTGTTCACATAATGCAGAATGAAAGCAGTCACATATGTCATTCAGGCTGCCAATTCTTACATATCATACTGTGAAATGTGAAGCACTTGACATGTAACACATGTGTCAATCAACCAGTCTCTCTGGCATGTTGTACACTGGAGATCATACTCTGATTATTCCCCCACCCACCCCAGTATTTTACCCTACTAATTTTTTATTCTTGCAACTTACTTTATGGGTCCCAGTTTCTGATAATCCTCTGTTATCACTGCTCTGGCTCTGGCTTCTGCATCAGCTCTGATTTCTGATTTCTTCTTTCTGCAGCCTCTTGACAACATGGGAAGAAGATTCTTTTTTAAATGCTTACTTCAGACATTATCAAATTCACAGACTTCTCAGCTAAACACCATTGGCTCATTCCTGATTATGAAAAATGTAAATATTGACACAAATGTGATCTTATCAATGAATTAATGCCATTGTTTTTATAGAACTCTTGAATGTCTATTTCTCAGATGTTCTTGACAGCCGTAGCTTTTATTTTCTGTTTTTTTTGTGTGGTTTTAAAAGAGGTTGGATTTGTTTTTGTTTTGCTTTATTCTTACAATGAAGGAAAGCACAGACTTGGGGCCACATATAAACCACAAATTTCACTGTTTTGTTTCCCTAGCACCTCGTAGATTTCAAAATTTTAACAATTTGGCTGATTTTAAGTTAATATTTCAACTGAAAGTGGAGTCAAATGCTCACAAACCACTAGGAAATTTGTTTATTTATCTCACTCAATAACAAAAGGACAAAGATTGCAGGACGAGCTATTAAAAGGGGAGGCGGGCAAAGCATGAAGGAAACCATGCAAACACTTTACTGCAAAGGAAATACAGTACATCCCTTGTATCCATGGGGAATATATTCCTGACTTCACTGCTGAAACAGGAAACCATGGATAAGAGCAAGCCATATTGAAATGTATGATTTGCACCAGTATCCTTCCATCAGAAGATACATGGAGCCTTGCTGGAAGACTTAAAAATTTCTAGAGAGGAATTTTTTCTAGGAATTTGCCAGGTCTTCTAGCAAGAAACATATCACAGAATTTCCTGGAAGACAAAGAAAATTCCTTTACATTACATTTTATGTCAGATTTGGGTAAATGGAAACCTTTGGTACAAGGGTCATACTGTAGTCACAACTTGGCCTGAATACTGAGAATGGTACAGCTTGTCCAAAGAGGAAACTCTGAAGGAGAATGTTTTTAAAACTCAGATTTGGAAATTGAAGGGCATGCTTTAAAAAAAATAGAGCTATTCTACACATTTCTTCATATCTATTTTTTAAATGATATGTTTTATGAAGCTTGGTGGCAATTTGCCTTAAATAGCTACCATTTCTTGCAAAAGAGGATCTTTCAACACCGAAGGAGATAACTGGTATGAGTCATGTCTTATTAGAGGCATACAAATAGGTAAGTATTTTGTATATCACGGGCTGGCCCATGACATTTGTCTGCCTGAATTAGAACAGCAAACATTCCATGCATCAAATCAAAACAACTAGTACTCCAAATTTGCCAACTTATTCTGGCACAAGGAAGAAGACCCCATAAACCCCTCTTTCCATTCCTAGCAACTAAATCCAATCCTAACATACAAAATACAGCCCCAATTTCATCTATCTCCCTCACTCTTTTTAATAAATAGTCCTGATCCACTCCTAATTTAAACTTACTGCAAAATCCCCCCAAAAGGCAATATATTTCATATTGCCATATTAAAAACTGGAGGTCCTATAACTTAAAAAGCAGGAAATGGAATATCTCACATCCAGGTAAAAAGAAATGGTCCCATACAACCATTAAAGATACATGAGCCTCTCTAGTTTTCATTCTGGCAACTATCTGCATGGCACAATTTGCTTCTTGGTTTTTCTAGTAGGAAGCACACAAGCCACACACAAGAGATATTATCACAAATACAAACCAGTCAAAAGTAAATAATTGAAAAATAGAAGTGTGCTAATACTATTCTAGCAATCCAATAGTTCTTGGGAAAGCACTTTACAGATTGTAGATGCAAGGCAAATGTTTACTAAATTCATAATAAGCATCAGTTTATTATGAATTTAGTATTCATAATAGACCATAATAGACCTCACAACCTCTCAGGATGCCTGCCATAGCTGCAGGTGAAACATCAGGAGAAAATGCTTCTAGAACATGGCCATACAGCCTGAAAAACCTACAACAACATCAGCTTCTTGTGAAGATAGAATTCTGCAAATAGATTGCCATCATTGAAAATCTCCAAGAATTAGCACCCACATCCATATATCTACATATCATGACCCTCTTAGCAGTAGTTTGGCAAAAGTTGACACAGAAATGGAATTGCAAAAGGTCTAAAATTATGTGAATGTATACTAGGAGTAAGTCCAACTTCTTGTGAAGCTAAAGCGTGTGGACCTGCAATCCTATGAGTAATTATCTAAACTCAAGAGATTTACTTTGGAGTAGACCAGTGGTTCTCAACCTGTGGTTCCCCAGATGTTTTGGCCTTCAAACTCCCAGAAATCCTAAAAGCTGGTAAACTGGCTGGGATTTCTGGGAGTTGTACGCCAAAACCTCCGGGGATCCACTGGCTAGAACCACTGGCGTAGACATGGATAACATTTCACTGTTAGAAACTCAGTCACCTCAGTTTTGGTACCTAATTCCAGAATACTTTCCTGGGCTATTGCTTCAATGCTGGTTGGGGATTCTAGGATTTTTATTCCAGACAAGTAACTTTCTAAACTTTTGCTCACTGTGAGTAACCCTCTTTTATCCCATCCACAAAAATTAATTCCATTCTCTTGGCATTTTATAGAAAAAGATATAAAAGCCTATGCTGTGGGAGAAAGATCAAAGTCTACACAGGAGTGATTCATCCTGTCTTCTGCAGTTAATTCATCACCTTCATGAATCCTCTTTAGAGACAGACAACATCAGATTCCTCATTTCAGGAGATGTCAATGTGTGGGACAAGCTGACTCCATCTCTCAAGTGTGACTCATAAATTATCCAGCTCCTCCAGTTATATAGAGGATGTAATGATAAAATAAACTATTAGAGAGTTTGAGATGGATGAAAATATGAAAAACTAATGTATGTATAAAGTCAGAGCCATTCTAGACAGGCCTATGCCCCGGGATTTGGCTCAGGTTTACCTGATGTGTCCAAATGATACCTCAGGTAAACCCGAATTAATCCGGAGTAAACTGGGATTTCCCAGTTTACTATAGATTAATTAAACACCTGGAAAGATCCAGACCATAATGTAAGGTCCAGATCTTTCCAGGTGTGGACCCTGTGGTGAAATCTCTCCTTCCCCCACCCCACAACCTCCTAATGCATCGTTTTCATGCACCAAGAGCTTTTGATGGAAGGGCCTGAGCATGCAGCCAGGCCTCTCAGGTAAGTTTTGAGGACAAATTAGGGGCTGACTCCATGCCCTCCCAAGTCAACCTCTGGGAGGGCATGTGGAAAGCCTGGGGTTTGGGGTAGGTGTGGGGACTAAGTCCCAGGAGGAACTGGTGTATAATATCCCAGTTCCTCCCAGGATTTAGTCCCAGGATTTAGTCATGTCTGGAAGGGCCCTCAGGACTGCTGGAATTGCATATGATTAGACCAGATCCTGTAAAAGTGATGGGAAATCCTGGTTTTGTAACTTTCCCATACTCATACAATCTATAGCACACAGTGACTTGTCCAAATCATTGGCTGCAAATCCATGGCAAGCTTCCAGGAAAGAAAGAAAGAACTGTCCTCACTGGGCACATATCTAGTACCAATCCTTAGCACATGGAGGAAAATGTGCTGACCCTTTGCATCATACAGCCTGTGAAGCATGGGTGTAGACCACAACCACATGCTGCACTTGGAAATCAACTGGAAGCTTATGTCGCTGCAAAATATGACATCTAAGCAGGCAGTTGCATCCAGATCATATTAATTTGCTATCAAAGGACCTGAAGTGGTTGCCAGTGGTTTTCTAGATCCAATCAAGATGTTTCTTTTAACTTCCTGAAGTCTGAAATGGCTTGGGACCTGACTATGTAAGATAGTTAAGATTATCAGAGTTCCTCTTGATCAGACAGACTGCTACTTGTGGAGATTTGCTACTTGTGGAGTTGGAAGGACCCACACAAGTCTCAGAGAAGAGCTTCACAGGCTTTGTGCACTGTGCCAGAAGAATGCAATGCTGAAGTTCATTGTGAAACACCCGGTCTTTGCAGGTATGATAAGTTCTCTTTTTCTTTAATATTTTAGGATGGGTCTGATGACCTTTTCTTTCAATGTCTGATAGTTAATGCATTTAATGGTTTCAGTATTTTAAACTGTTCTTAGTTATTTTTGATAACCATTCTATTTTTAAATGGAAATGTGAAAATGACCTTAAAAAGATCAAATATGTGTTGTCGAAGGCTTTCATGACCAGAATCACTGGGTTGCTGTGAGTTTTCTGAGCTATATGGCCATGTTCCAGAAGCATTCTCTCCTGATGTTTCACCCACATCTATGGCAGGCATCCTCAGAGGTTGTGAGGTCTGTTGGAAACTAGGAAAATTGGGTTTATATATCTGTGAAATGTTCAGGGTGGGAAAAAGAACTCTTGTCTGTTGGAAGTAGGTGTGAATGTTGCAATTTGCCACCTTGATTAGCATTTAATTGCCGGTAGTTTCAAGGCCTGGCTGGTTGCTGCCTGAGGAAATCCTTTGTTGGGAGGTGTTAGCTGGCCCTGATTTATTCTTGTCTGGATTTCCCCTGCTTTTTGAGTCTTGCTCTTTATTTACTTCTTTCCCCCACCCTGGACATTCTACAGATAAACCTCACTTACTTAGTTTCCAATAGAGTCCCCAACCTCGGAGGATGCCTGACATAGATGTGGGTGAAATGTCAGGAGAGAATGCTTCTGGAACTTGGCCATATAGCCTGGAAAACTCACAGAAACCCAAGAACAAATATGTTTGGCTTCCACCATGCTGATTGACATTGCATATCTTAATTTTTGGTGAACAACACTGGTGGGGGGGGGGGTGATAGCAGTGGCTATAAGGACCATATATTTGATGGAAAAATATATTGTAGGCTGAATAGTGCTCCACAGAATGACAGAAACCTGATTTAATAAAATGTAAAGCAAAATTAGTACAAGAATGTCTATACCTCAAATTACCAAAAAAAAAAAACACCCTTAGTTTTTCATGTGTTCCAGCTCATGTGTAATGCTTCACATCTCACAACATTCTGTTAAAAAAAGTCCAGGGAAAACTGTTGTAAGTACCCAGCTTAGCAAAAGATTTACAATGAAACCATGGTATTTTTCAGTTACCAATTAACACATTGTGCAATGAAATCACTGGAGTTTAATCCTTGTCAAATGTAACATGTTTTGGATCAAATTTTCCACACAGAGATTTTTGAACCTGCTAAACTATAGCATGAACACAATCCCTTAAAATATGATAGCACAAATCCATTATCACACATTCTTATTTGTAATTATGAACATTTCTTTGTACAACATATGCAGTCTGAAATGGCAAAACAATATGTAGAATTATCAACATCATCAACACTTTTTATATAAAATGCTATACTTAGAACCATCTTCTCATTACAGCAAATTAGCAAAACTCTGTGGATCGATACAAAGCTATGCCAACATATATTACAAGAAGTCCTTTGGACAGGGCAGAAAGATCACCATCTCAGGGGCTGGGGTACCTATACAGTGGCCATAGGCTATGCAATAGAAAGCTAGGGTTTAATGCATGAACTTTAGACTCACACTACTTCCTCAAAGCTATACTTTGTTTATAAGACAAACTATAATTCAGACTTACTTTCTCCTAATTTCTGGGTTATTAGTTTGAACAAAATGGGAATTGTGGCTTAGCACAAACTAGTTTGTTAAACAAGACAGAAAATGAGACAGGATTGTTATGGACTTGTTCAGCAGCTGTTACAACCTGTACTAGTGGTTCCTGATTTGTATGTTACAACTAGCCAGGATTTCAGTGGAAGTGAAAATAAAACATACTTTATTACTTTTCACAGCATCTGGAAAGTCATTTCCAGGAGGGAACAGAGAAGTCCATTGTGTCATGTTTCAGATCACAAAGGCCCAAGTACACAATGCTAAATCCTAGACAAATGTCATGCCCAAACTAGGCCTAACAGTCTGCCATAAATTGCAAGGATCCCAAAGTCTAGCAGCCAAAAACTTTGGTTTACAACCTCTTATTCTGTTGAAGTGAATTTACTATAAAGCTAGTTCTTTTCCAAAATACTTGGGAAATTGGAAAGAACTGACAAGAAGTTTATGAAACAGTGATTGTGTTGTTCACCCATCATAACAATTTTATAATGATTTCTTGAAATTTGGCTGGTTGTTACATGTGAACCTGACTCTGCTACCAAGTTGTGATTTGCTAACCAGTCACAAATCAAAATTTAAACCCACATTTTGCTGTTAGTTCACAAACTCTATTCTGATGAAGCCATGGCTGGGATGTCCAAATCTATAGACCTAGTTTGCCCTGACCTGACAACAGCTAGATTCTTCAAGAGCAAAATGGAATTCTTACAGTAAATACACTGTAGGACTAAAAGGAAGAGAGATCTAGGGTGGTTCCACACAATACTTTAACCTGGGGCCAATCTGATTTCTTAAACCCAACTGGGCCCAGTTTAAAGTCCACTCATGCCCCAGAAAGCACATGTTTTTTGGGTGGGGTGTCCACATGCCCTGTTGGACCTTCTGGCAGGGCATCCACACATCAACAAAAAGAAACCAGAAAAGGCCTAAAAATGGTTAAGGACTTACCGAGCCCCCATTAGGCCTTGCAACACACTTCCTGAAATATACCAATTACACATGAGGAGACAGGGGAGCGATTTGACCCACTTCCTCATATGTGATTGCTACATTCCAAGAAGTGCACTGCAAGACCTAAGGTCTAAGACCTTAACCATTTTTAGGGTTTTTTCGGGGGCGGGAGTGGATGGGGGCCATCTCACATCTCTGGGCTCCAGGAGCCTAGAAAGTCTAAGATGGATATATGAACAGGCCCCAGAGAAGTCCCAGGACTTCCCTGGGGCCTGTCCACACAGTGCCCACAGGTGAAAGACCCAGATCTTTCTGGGTGCCGAATGAATTTGCTTTTACCCGAGGCTTTGTTTGGACGCCCCAGGTAAAAATCCAGGAGCTCACACATTTTGTGAGCTGTCTGGATATGCTCCTGGTATAAAAAGTCTACCATGATAGTAACAGCTTTTCGGGGTTCCAGAAATAAATTTACCAAATCCAATCTACAGGAGCTAGGAATTGAACCTGGGACTTGTATATGCAAAAAATATATTCCACCATTGAACTTAAGGCTTTTCCCATAATTTACTCCACTGATTTGCATGAGATGTGGACCATAAGTGGGAAAGGTTATTTCCAGGAATCCCTCAGCAAGCATGACTACTGTCCACTGATAGATCCTGGGAATTATGGCCCAAACAGGTTCCAAGCTCTAATACAGACCAGCAGTTATCTTGTGCATTTTGCAGTCCTACTTGTGCCATGGTTGAAGACAATAGACGTGTGGAGATAAGAACCACTCATGAAGAATTTTTATTTTATTTCCATTTCCTTTTTCAGTTTGGTTTTGGGTATTTTCCCTTTTCCCTGTTTATTATTTTCTTTACAAGAAAGCATATGTTTTTCCCAATAGAAAAGAGAGAACTAATCCAACGCCCAGCTAAATCTGTCTGAGATTGGAATAAATGTATCAAAGTATTATGACATAAAAGTACCTTAAGCTAATGCATCCATAAAGGAAGGAGATCCAGAGCCATCCGAGGAAAAGGAAGAGTACCATCAGAGGAAATGCAAACACAAACCATGAGCCAAAATTCACAAGGTCACACCCTGGAAAATAACTTGGAGAAGGAGAAATGTTTCTGATTAAAGCAAGATAATGAAATACTTTTTGATATGCCAATAGGTACCCCAAGAAAACTTGTCATCCAAATATTTCAGATGTGATTCTTAAGATTCAGTCGATATCAACTGCACTCAACCTTGCACCTTCCATACATGTTATACCATGGCTCTCTCCATCACCATGATATGGCCAATGCCTCTTGCAACAACCTACAGGAGTTTGACCACTGCTTCCCCCATCCTGTTGTCTCTCTTGTTCACAATTGCTGTGCCATCTTTATTTTGTTAAAATGTGACATGGTGGGCATTGCAGTTCAAAACAGTACTTATGAATTTCACATGTTTGTGTTCAGTATCCCACCAGTGCTTTACTACCATACCTCTTTAGTTGTCCTGAAAGAATGAGATTTGGAGCAGTTCCAGTCAGTGTTGCTGTTCCACCAATGCTGGCAGAGTAAGGGATTGAAATAAGAAAGCCTTTCCACACATTTGTTTTGTATTCTTCCTCCTTCCTTACATCTGTGGAAACTTCAATTGTGACCTTCTCTTCTATCAAGTCTTTCCTTTAGAAGATTCAAAAAGAAAAAAAACCCTTAAAATGGGTTATTTCTACATTACTTGAGATTAATTTGTTTACTTTTATTTTGACAGTTGAACAAACATACCTCCCATCTTTTCAGAGACAAAAGAAATAAGACGAATGTCATGGAAAGGCCAAAACAGGGTCCTTCTGGAATGTTTATGGTTCATAATAATAATAATAATAATAATAATAATAATCTTTACATTCTGCCCTATTTCCCCGGAAGGACTCAGGGCAGATTCCAATATACAAAAATATAAAAAGATCTTTGCCAGAAGTTTAGAAAAATCAGTATCAATGGAAAATTAGAATGACCTCATTCAGACAAACTGCAGATTCACCATAATGTTGCTTTGGCCTAAGCTATCCTACTTCCTCTTACTGTGAAAAAGCCATAAGAAGATTTTTAAATATTAAGCATTTACAACAGTGTGTAGATAACCACATGTGATTGGAGCCCCCGGTGGTGCAATGGGTTAAACCCTTGTGCCAGCAGGACTGCTGACCAAAAGATCAAAGGTTCAAATCCAGGGGGCTGGGTGAGCTCCTGTCTGTCATCTCCAGCTTCTCATGCAGGGACATGAGAGAAGCCTCCCACAGGATGGTAAAACATCTGGGCATCCCCTGGGCAATGTCCTTGCAGATGGCCAATTCTCTCACACCAGAAGCAACTTGCAGTTTCTCAAGTCGCTCCTGACACACACAAAAACCCACACTTTATTGTATTATCTGAACTGGCAACTGAGGTTAGTTTTAATTACTATTTATACAAAGAAACCAGGATGATTAGTCAAAATGGAATCATGGGTAATTAGGACAGGCCACGGTTAAAACTATATAACCTGTTTTTGCAAATAACCTCAATGGCCTGAGGTTAGGGAAATTTTTAATGGTATTGCTGTAAGTTATTAAGTTATTCTATATAGTTTAGGTAAGTGGGTATTTGTGTTAGCTGTTTTATGATGTCTATTTGAATGTATTTTTATGTAATTGCTGGAGTTTTTTAAACACTGTGCACCGCTTTGATTCTCACCTGTGGGGAAAAAGCAGCATAAAAATGAATCAATAATAATAATAATAATAATAATAATAATAATAATAATAATTTAAACTAACCACAGTGTTCCTATTTCAGATGTAATGATAAACTACAGTTAGTTGAAAACAGAAGCAAATGCTCCCAATTCCTATTTCACAACCATGCAAACTGAGAAGGAAAGGGACAGTGCATAAATCCAATGCCCATTCATATAACATTAAACCATAACTTCACGTTATATCCTGATGCAGCCCAGCGCAGCCAAGATGGACTCTTCATAGGTGCATAGTAGGCCTGGGTAACAACGGAAAAATTTGTTTCTAAAATCGATTTGTATTTGGGGTTTTTTTGTTTCGATATTTAAAATAATTACAAAATTTTCCCTTAAAAAAGTTCGGTATTTACGAAATTTCGTAAATGTGAAAAAAATTACAAAACATTAACGAATCGATTTCCGAAACAATAACGAATTGATTCGTTAATGGCGGACGCGACCGCGAAATACGCTAAAAAACCTCCAAAAACTTCTGAAGCTTCCCTCTCCCTCTGTTGTTGACTGTTGGTGTGATATTATAATTTTTTTTCACTAATTAAACAAAAAACTTGCCCCAGACATGCGGAAATAATAACGAAACGACCTCAGAACAATAACGAAACGAATACAATAAAGAAATACGAAGCATTTACAAAACGTGTTTAAAAATTCGTTTTTTTAAAAAATTGCTCCAGAATGGTTCGTTATCGTTTTGTAATTGAAAAAAATAACGAATTATTAACGAATTACGAATTAACGAAACGAAACCGCCCAGCCCTAGTGCATAGCCTTGTTTAAAAGCTAACATGTGTTTTGAAAGATGAAAGTGCTATTTTTTGGATTACCACTCTCAGATCATGCCAGCCAATATTAACCAGAGTCAGGGACTTGTAACCCAAAAATAACTTTTCCAACCTCTGAGTAATATACACTCCTTTACTATAAAACAGTAATTGACAGAAGAAGAATGATGTTGAGCAGGCATTCAATCCTGTTAAGTAATAGGGATAACCTTTCAATGACCGCTCTCCATCTCTTCCAACTTTTCCATAAAAACTTACTCATCAGCATTTGCTAGAAGCTGCATCTCAGTTGGCACCATGTGAAGTTTATTCTGATGTGCACATACTGGAAAAGAAAGGTTTTTTTGAAGAGTTTTTAATGTACAGAATTGTGTACAGAAGGCGACAATAAAATTAAATGTTCAGCGATTTGGAGCTGCAGTAAATGAGCAAAAAAAGTTAGGCAGTGGTATACCTGTCAATGTCCAGAACACATGAGGGTGAGACTTATTTTTCATTGTCAGGGTTGAAGAAATATTTGCAGCCCTGGCTACAATTTAAAGATGTCTTTGTTCAGCAATAGCAGTTACATTCTCAAGTCTCTGCCTGTCGCTACTGCTGTGCAAGTGTATGAACCATACTTTGTTACATTTTTGTTCAGTCCATTTCTACCTAATGGAAATTGTGGAGTTCAAATGTTTGCACACAATCTTTAAAGCAATTAGCTGGTCCAGTAGGAAAGAAAAGAAAATGTTGTTTAATGTGCTTAATTGGATAGTAGACATCAAAAGATCTACTTTAAAAAGTTTAAGCACATGGACAGATAAGATTGTAAACACAGGATAAGGCAGGAGAGTGAATTTAAAAGTAGTGAGGAGGTAAATTGACTCAAATGCTATAAAGCTAGAAGGACAATCTGTAGCAGAAAAAATTGCAAGGGAATTGCCTTATTCTGTTATCTAGACAAGCCAAGAAAGCAGTAGTTGAGTTTACAATAGGCACCTTAAACATGAATGACAGCTTTCATTGGTTTATGTCCAAAAAGTAAGAAGGAGGGGTGTGCGCGTGCAAATGTATGCCCACTTGGTCACAAAATTCACATGCGTATATCAACATTCACTATAACATTTCATTTATATTTTTATTTATGCTGATGCAATATTGATTTTTTTAACCTTTAAAAGATCCCGCAAATCAGCTATGAAATAAATCCAACTAGGAAAGTAACAACCTTTACTTGGTATTAACCAGTATTTATTTATTTACTGTATTTGTATACTGCCTTTCTCAGCCAATTGGCGACTCAGTAGGATATTATCCTCTTTTAAAACCAATAATGAAGTCACAAAGAAATGTGGGAGATTTTGAATAAGAACATAGGAAGATCCCTGCTCAACCAGACTGAACCATTACATGTTGTGTGAAACACCATTGCATGCTGTTTCACACAACAGCCATTCAGATGCCCCAATAGACAAACACACCTCACCATTCCATCTCTGATTTTAGAGATATAACCATCATGAAGAGCAGTTGCTGATTACCTGTCCGAATGCATCTCTCCCTATGAACCATTGTGGAGATTAACATCCTCCGGGGAGGCCCTGCTTTCCGTCCTACTATTGTCACAGGCACGATTGGTGGGGACGAGAGACAGGGCCTTCTCGGTGATTGCTCCCTGGCTATGTAACTCCCTTCCTGGTGAGATTGTTGTTAACTGGTTGTTAACTGGTGCTCCTTACAGAGAGAGCTCAACCCTCCTATTTAAGGAGCTCCATTGGCTGCCGTTCATTTTCCGGTCCCAATTCAAGATGCAGGTGCTCACCTACAAAGCCCTAAATGGTTTGGGACCCACCTACCTGTGTGACCGCATCTCCGTATATGAACCCACACAATCCCTCTGTTCATCTGGAGAGGCCCTGCTCACGATCCCACCTGCATCGCAAGCGCATTTGGTGGGGACGAGGGACAGGGCCTTCTCTGGTTGTTCCAGTGTGCCTTTCCAAAATAGGAAACTCCCAGCATCATGTCCCAAACGCACTTTACCAGAGATTTAAGATTGCCTGCACATCGCACCTCCCCTAAAATCCTTACATTTCACATGTCATGTCCAGCACTTTTAATTTATTCATTACATTTGGCCCGGCCCTAGTTTTAAATGTGTTATGATGTATTGTTTTGATGTTTTACTGTTATTGCTTTAATGTTTATTGGTTTGCTTTATGAGTTTTATTGTTGTATTTGTTATGCTGTTGTTTTATTGAGGGCCTTGGCCTTTGTGAGCTGCACTGAGTCCTTCGGGAGATGTTAGTGGGGTACAAATAAAGATAATAATAATAATAATAATAATAATAATAATAATAATTGTTACTTTCAAGGGGCTTCTTAAGGAACAACATACCTACCTATCTGTTACTAAGTAATAATTTTCCAGGCTATAGCACCAGAAACATGAACATCCATCTATGAAGTCAGCAAATATACAGCAATTTTCAATATAATTACAGGTTTTTTATATTTTAATATTCTGAATTAACAAAACAATTAATAGCAATGTATTTGTCTCTCCTCTACAATGTCCAGAAAAATCACAAATCTGTATTTACTGATATTATGCTTCTGTATGTTTGATCTAATTTCTTCCCTCTTTCCACAAAATTCAAATACGCTTTCTTTTCAAACCTTATGATTGTATTGCATTGTAAGAAGAGGACCTGGTTTGGGATCACTAACCATTGGAATGCCCAGCTGCTCACTGAACTGAATAGAATCATCGCTCTTTTGAACCCAGATTTCCTGGTATAAATTTTTCCATTTGGAAATGCTACCCACTTTATCTGTTTCCCCACATTAAGATAAAAAGAACATTACAAGAAAAGACAAGCAAATGCGGTCAAAGTTTGTGGACTTTTTCACTCTGCTGAAGAAGGGAGTAAGTCTGCATCTGTTCAGTGAACCAGTGGCTTTTGCAATGTCATGTTTTACACTTCAGTGGAGTAAAAAAAGAAAATGAATGTACTGTTACTGTCTTTTTCCCTTCCATGGTGGATTCCTCAGTTCTGGATCTGTGAACTTGTATAACTTTCAGATTCCCTACACAGCCATGAAAACTTACTGGGTGGCATGGAGCAAGCAACACACTCTCATCTTCAGAAAACCAATAATAGGTTTGCCTTACGATAATAGTAAGTCAGAAACATCATGAAGGCACACAGCAACAGCAACAATGTAAGCTGTATATATTTGTACATTAGTATGCACCCACTGAAGCAGAGAAAACACCAAATTGTAGAAGTGGAAGCTACTCCGAGGATCACAATGTCCAACCCATTGCTTATGAAGAAATCTGCAGCCAAAGTACCTCTGAGAGATGGTCATCTAGCCTCTGTTAAAAGAAATCTCCAGTCAAGGCAAGTCCTTTTGAGGTAGTTCACTCCATCATGTAAAAGCTCTCAAGCATGTAAACCCCTTCACTCAACTGCAAAAAAATCCTTAATGTTTAGCTGGAATCTCTTTTCTGGTCATTTGAATCCATTGCTTTAGGTTGTACCCTCTGGAGCAACAGAAAATTAGATTGCTTCACTTTCTACATGATAGCACTTCAGATATTTGCAGATGGCTATCCTATCATCTCTCAATCTTCTATAAGGACTGTTAACGACAACAGCTATGTCTATGTGTGACAGGTGATGCTATTTTATGTGATGTGTTTAATAATGTTTAATGTTTTATTAGGGGAGGGTCAATTTTAATGTTTTATACTGTTTTATCGATGGCATTGAATTGTTGCCAACACTGTGAGTAACCTACGAGGTTGAGAAGAGCTGTATACAAATATCGCAAATAAATAAATAAATGTATAAAACTTTCTCAATCATTCCTCATATATCTTGATTTTTCATCTTTGGCAAACTTCTTCTTGGCACTCCCTAACCTAGGCATGGGCAAACTTTGGCCCTCCAGGTGTTTCGAACTTCAACTTCCACAATTCCTTACAGCTGGTAGGCTGTTAGGAATTGTTGGAGTTGAAGTCCAAAACACCTGGAGGGCCAAAGTTTGCCAATACCAAACAGTGGTGTCCAGAAGTGAACATAATGCATCAGCTGATATCTCATCTAAACAGAGTGTTATTGTTGCTGTTTTTGCTCTGTGCTCTCAAGTCAATTTTGACTGATGGTAATCTTTTCACAGAGGGGATTGGCCAAGATTTCTGGAAGTGGGTTTGCCATTGCCTTCATCTACAGCTGAAAGAATATAGCTTGCACAAGGTCAAACAGTAGGTTTCTATGGCTGTGGAATTCAAATTCTGGTCTGCTAGAGTTCAAACCTCAAAGCCTTTCTGTCTCTCAATGGAATGATACTATACCTTCCCTTGATGAGCTCCTTTTGCCACCACATTTTTAAGAGCCCCTTTTTTCCTCTTGAATATTTTAGATTTCTGCTCTCCAGTTAGCACAAGAACAATTATCCTATTACCCTCCCTGATCTACCTTTGCTTTCATCTTTCTCCTTCTTGAGATCCCGGGATGTTTCCTTTTCTCCAAAGAGACTCTTCAGAATAGCCATGGCGATTGGTAGCATCATTGCTGTAGAGGCTGTGTTACTAAGCCACATAGAAAGGAAGGAGGTGGTCAACATCATTCCCAAAATGAGCCTATCAAACAAAAAGAAAGGAGAAAAAGTAAGGGTTTTACCATCTTTTTTGCTTTGTTTTTGTATTGCTAAGAAAGTCTCTTGTCAGAGGTCTCTTAAGATTAAGGAAAACAAATCCATCTCAATCATATTCTGTAAAATATCCAAGCCTGTAAAACTAGGAGAACTATTAATCTGATTACAGCAGTGCTCAATGGCTATCTTTCTCTTTTTTATTATCCAAATAGAGGAAAATTAAGAGCCCTCCATATACTTTTTTAAAAAAATCTTGCTGCCCTTCCCAACATCAGTTCTAGATTTGTGTTAACTTGTATTTATTATGCAACGTATGTCCTCCTCATATAAACTCAAACTGAATAGAGTAAATTTATTATTATTTAGACGTGTAGCCAATGGTGTGTCCATTTGTAATTTTTAAAATTGTGTTTTTCCCCTTATAGTTGTGGTGAGGATTGCTTATTTCACTTCTTTTCACATATCCCTCTCATGACTCTGCCGTGAATCAGATTAACCAGTGACCTGTTTGCAGTCTACTGAATTGTGCATCGAACTAAATACTTGTCTGCAACCTGGAAATCTTGGAATAGAGTTCTGCTTTGGTATCCAAAAAACTTTATACTGGGATTTGCTCCAGGGTAAACAAAAACAGAAATTAGTTTTTTTTAAAAAAATGTCCACCTTAGTAAAAATAGCATCCAGCACATAACAGTTTCATTTGGTTCCATCTCAGACTCCTGGCTCTACCATTGCAAGAATACAATCCCTGAGACCCATTTAGTGAATTCAGTGTAGGCCAAACAGCATTCTTTGCTTACCCTTTTTTAAATACCACACTGCATGGCTTATCTGCTTAAACTGTCTCATGTACATAAATTTATTTCTGTTCTCCAAGTCAATACAGATCATTTAAATAACTTGTATACAGTATAATTGGACAGTCCCAAGCCTTTCACATTCATAATCTAAATTCTCCTTACAAAAACCTTGTATGGTAAGCCAGGAGCAGTACACTGCAAGAATAATTTGAAATTTCCAGGTATGCACACCGCACTTCTGAAATTGCCAGGTATGCACCCCACACTTCTGAAATGTTTTCTCAACTGAAGTCTACCTGATGTCTGCATTACAATGTTTTCAGTTCTGGATCAAGTTTCCTGTGTTCTTGTGGGCTTTAAAGATCTTTATTTCAGAGACAAAGTAAAAATTAAGAGGAAATTTATTCCAATGCAAATTTATTCCAATGTCCCCTGTGCCTCAACCATCAGGATTGCAAATTTAACCTGTATTTTTATATCTTTATGTATTATAGGAAGATTATGAAAATTTCATGCTATATTCCATGTCTTCTTCCAAAGATATAGGACAGCACCTTTGAAATTCAGCCCTGGCATGATCAGATCATTTGTATTCCTGTTGTAAAAACTCTCTTGCAGAAACCATTTCTTATTCATGACTTACGTTAAACTATTGCAGAAGGAATTCTGTTCAGCCATATCCTCTTTTAATGCAACAATCTCTCTGTCTAATTTTTGGAATTTCTGCTCAGTGATCACCAATAATTTTCATTTTTGCTATGAGAAATATGTTAAAAATAAAAGTACATACACAACTTTATATGTGCATGATTTAGCCAAATGTTAATCACATGGTCTTTATTTCAAAGGAAGAGTTGCAGCACAATCCTATCTAGTATCTAAGCTGAATCAAGGACCATTATTTAGTTCCATAGAGGTTAATCTGTGGGAGTAGAGAGGTGAAACACCCTGGCAGAATCTGCTGAATGTTGCACAGGAGGACTCCATATGACTATGGAAGTATTCTTTCTAGGTATTTCTATGGTCAACCTCTACTGGAGTCATGCTGGAGGACCTAGAGATTCCTCGACAGAAAAGATCAATCAAATATACTTATCAAATCCACAAATGCTTAACTCACAAATATGAGGCGCTGATAGTATATCCCTCAGAGTGCTTGTAGACTACCAGCTAAATGGCCATGTTAGCTAATGAATTCTGGGAGCTGGTTGAAGGACTCTAGGAGTTTCCAAGGTCTGGACCTGCCATCTAGAATTACCAGAACCAATCCCTGAAGATGCTTCTATACACTTGTTTCACAGGAAAGAAATTTCATATGCTGCAACCTTTATAACAGTGCTTCTCAACCTTTGATTCTCCAGGTGTTTTGGATTTCACCTTCCACAATTCCTAACAGGGACCCTATGCTACACTGCTTGCACAACGTGGCTCTGAATTAGGGGAACACGTACGCAAGTGAGTGCACCAAGTGAGAGAGGCAGCTGCGGCAGAGTCGTTGCAATGGAAGGAAGGATAAAAATGAGGGGGGAAAGACGACCAATGGAAGGAAGGATAAAAAGGAGGGGGAAAATATTGTTACATTACCTCTCCCTTATCCTGTCCCTCCTGAGTTAAATTACTTCACTGCTATCCTGTCGCAGTTGCACCTCTCACTCACTCTGCTGTCTCCCACATGTGTTTCCTTCATTAATTCTGACCAACATTGTGCAACTAGCGTAGGGTCTCAGCTATCATACTATTGCCCCTAACAGCTGGTAAGCTGGCCGGGACTTCTGAGACTTGAAGTCCAAAACACCTAGAAAACCAAAGGTTGGAAACCACTGCTTTATAATCACTGCAATAATGTGATAAGAAAATGCAAAGTTACTTTATTTTATACTTTTCTGGCACAGTTGAGCAAAAGCCTAATAATTTCATCTATTTACCTGGCTGGTTGAACTCCCACCAATATTAGGATTCTCAGCGCAATCCTGCGATGAAGATTCCACTCTTCAATGGCAGCTGCCATGATTAGTCCACTCAGGAAGAGGAAGTTGGTATCTAGAAAGTACTGGGGACAAACTTTGCTGGCTGGGAGGATCCCAAGGAAGGGGAAGAGAATGATGGGAAGAAGAGCAGTCACAGACAATGGCAGAGCTTCTGTGCACCAGTACATGGCCATCACCAGAATGACATAAAGACATTTCCCTTCCTGCAAGAAAACAAAGGGGAGTCGGTCACTTATGTTACAGCACTGGGAAACATGGTATCCTTGAAAATCCTTTAGAATGAAAACTGGAGAGAGTTTTTGTACCTTAATGGTGGCATAGTAGAAGAAAAGATTTCAGCAAGTGCTGCTGGTCAAGCGACCAAGTAACAAGCAACACGTGCTGAAATCCTTCTGCTATACAATCATTTCATTTTGACCATCCTAATTTGTGTGCTTTCTCTTGATTACTTGGGTTTCTTTGTGGTCACCTAGAAGAGCAAACAGCTCCAGATCTAAGTTACAACTGAGATGGGTGAAATTTGTTTATTTTTAGTTGGCAATATTTCATTCAACAAAAGAATCAAGGATCGGAGCAATCTGACTCTTTGCAGCATTTTCAATATTTAGATGAATTTTCAAAGAATAAAAAGAGAAACAGAAAGAGAAGTAGTGTTGAAATGAAGCAAATGAATGAATGAAATTGGGCACCGCATAGAAGCACCTGGTCTGCCTTCACATGATGGCTGCACAGCCCTTGGCAGCTGATAGATGGCAGGAAAGATTTCTACACAACAACCCACTTAAAATTCAGCATCCAGGAAGTGATTGAGCAAAGAGATCTGGAAGAAAGTCACATGTTGATCAGCAAGACAGGTTTAGCATATAACATCTCTCTTGAAATCCAAAGGAAATCACACATTCTAAAGCAAAAGCAAGTGAAATGAGATGGTTGCATTCCAATTGCCAAACACAAAACTATCAGCTTTGCACAAACCAGTGGTAGTTGATGGCTTCCCTGTCAGCAGGATGGTATATTAATTCCAGGTTTTGGCCTGAACTTTAAAAGAGCTGTCAAAATGCTGAGTCCTACCCCACAATAGAGCCAGAGTCTTGCATTGTTATTTTAAAGTTCAGATTTAAGCACATGAAAACCAGAGAGCCACCCACCTCTAATGGTTGAAAAGCAATGCAGTCGCTCTTGCCCATTTCTGGTTTAAAACTATCTAGCAGCTTGTGATCCCTTTATTTTATCAGTTTTGGATAAACTCTTTTATGCAATGCTTTTGACATGAAATAAATAAACTTCCAATGGTACAACCGACATCATTCATCCCCAGCTTGGAGGGCTGTATGGACAATACAACAGGCTTGTGATGAAACCTATATTACAACCTGCTCATTCTGGCACCCTTTCTGTTCTCCAGCTACATTTTTCCAAATAAAAGGCTATTTTAGCAATCTCGTTTCCTGTCATTAAGCTGATGATAAAGCTACAGAAAAGCAATGTCCAAGTTTCATATGCCCATGTACCAGATATGGCCAAAGGGCATGAGTTCCCATAGAGAGAAGAGAAAGATGGAGACTGCATTTCTCTTTCTGATTACATAAAGCCAATTCTACCAAACTTTGCTGTGTGGCAGCCACCAAATAATCCCAGCCTCAGAAATGGTCAAAATTATTTTTGGAAAATAAATTATTATCTTGCTTAATTAAAGTTTGGATTTGGAAGGAGTGAGAATTGTCACAAATACAAACTTCCTTGCTGTGAATCTTGTGACTGGATTAATTTTCTAACTGTGTAACCAAGAAGTATTTTCCTCAGTTACACAATCGCCTCAGTCATGACGCAGTTATAGCTTGTTCTATGACTGTCTGGGTTTTTCCTTCCATGAATGTGCCTCTACAGCAGAAAATGAAACCAAGGTTGATGGTTATTGGGTAATGTTCACTTATGGGAAGCAAAAATGCTGGACATTGGGTAATGTTCACTTATGGGAAGCAGAAGGAAATAAAACCTCACTGACACTAAATACTAGATATTTCAAACCCACCCCAACCTACACAGATTAAAAGAGAAAGGAATGTTTGCCAGCTTTGACACACTTAGTGTGTTTGAGTCTATAGCTCTACATTTCTTAAAGTACACACTGGTTCTACTAATGCAGAAAATAGACAGTGAGAGGTTAATTTCCCTTCTCCAATAATTCCAGAACCTGAAGCTGAATGATGGGGACTCAGGACAGAGAGCAGGAATACTTCTTCATGCACCATAATCAAATCACGAAATTTATCAACAGAAGATGTGGAGTAGTAGCCACCAAAATGAACTGCAGATTGGACAAATTCACATAGAATAAAGTCGTCAAAGACTACATTCCCTCTGTTTCAGGAGTTGGATCTCACTGGACCTCTCCTCCTGGGCTACACAATTTCTGTTCCTGTCTTAGTTGATTGATGCATCTGTCAATCACTTATAGCTGTTCCAAGGAAGGTTTCTGTATTGTCCAAGACTAGCTTGAAGTTAAATAATTGTTTGCTTAATATCCAGGACTCAAAGATCCAGGGCAGCTTACAGGAATGTCAAAACAAGGAAAACTAAAACCCAGTCATCATCATTATTATTGTTTACAAAAGTTAAAACACAATTAAGCAAGTCCCCATAATAAAATGATATCATTTTTTAATGTTCTTTCAACATTCAGCATGCTCCCATGACTCCCTGCATGCAGTTGATCTTTAAATGCTTATTTGAATAGAACAGCCATATTATCTGCTAGCAAAGAGAACAGAGAGGACAGGCAATCTTGTTTCCCATGCAAGGTAACTTCATAGACTGGTAGCAAGATAAGAAAAAAATAGAAGAGGCACTAAAGTGACAACAAGTTAAGCAAGTACACAGGTCACCTAGTCATATATTCTTCCCCATGACAGTAAGATATATTCTATTTTCACTTAAACTACAGGTGCACAACAATTGACCTGTAGATTATATGTATTCCCTACCTATTTTTTGTGGCTATTGCTATTACCACCCAAACTGCAAAAGGTACAGAAAAGGCCAGTGAAATTTACCATGGGATTGAATCACATTCCCCAATGAGTAAATATTATGATGTTTGAGATTGTCTAGCATCACTGAGGAAAAGTGAACAAGCAGAAACACAATTATGTATGTTATGGAGACAGCAGATAAGGGAGAGGCTTTTCTTCTTCTCTTATAGTACTAAAACTGAGGCCATCCACTGAAGCTGAAGGGTGGGAAATTCAAGACAGATAAAAGATGCAGTTCTTGATATAGAACATACTTCAATCAAGAAAGTCCCTTTAGAAATGCCAAGGATAATAAACTGAGTGAGGTGGGATGATTGTTACAGTTAATAGTTTACACACCTTCCTCCTCTATCAGTGCACAGATGCAGATAACCCTTTCTTATTCCACTAACAAGTGAAGGGATTACAGCCATGGCTATTATATGAAAAAATCTATCTCCATTCCATCTCATTACTGCAAAAATAATAATAATTGAAATGTATAGTAACTTATCAATAAAACGAATTATATCCCACCTCTGCATGTGACCTCACTTGGGCAGATATTTATATATATGGTGGTGAGAGGGGATGAAAAATGCACTAGATATACAAAAGGCACCAATACGATGATAACCTATGGTAATTTGTTATTCAACTAAGGTGGGAACTATATCTAAGTGCAGATTAACACTTGTATGGTGGAGATAAGTCTTTTTATAACTAAGTATAAGGGGAAGCATTTAGATTGGACTTGTGTCTTATGTAACCTTCCAGATATGATTTGACTGCAGCCCCCAGAATTCTCCAACATTCCTCACAATTGCTGGGACTTGCAGTCCAATGGCATCTGGGGGTCAATATGATTATACTCTCTGATCCAGGTAAATTTTAGTGCCCTAAATTAGAACATTACCTTTAAACTCAGTGAACAGTCAAAACACACTGTCTTCCTTCTCTATTTACTCAGATGATAGATTGTATGTGGCATAGATTTTTTTAGAGACAGGTCATTCTGACACCAGACATAGGTCAAGACAGAACCAAATAATCATAAGAATGCAGCAGACAAGAACACGTGCAAGCATTGACATGTAGCTTTGCACATGTTCATATGTGTGGTATACTTAGGGCTTTGTCAGCCGCCCCGAGTCTCCTCCGGGGAAATGGTGGCAGTGTATAAATAAAGTTTATTATTTATTATTATTATTTGTAGTTGATTTCACACTTAATATGACTTTAAGCATATTGCTGAGGAAGACATTTACTAACATTATTTCTCTTAGGAATTCCTCACCACCGCATTCCTCTGTGGTCTACTCTGAGAACTAATAGGCTAGCTACTATCTAAAATATAGTGGTTAGAATCAAAGCTGCAGGAGCATTTGCAGAGGCTGGAAGTGAGTCTTCTTTCCTTTCCTCCCTATTCCAACTTTGCCTATAGCTTTTATCTTCAGTTTTGCCATACTGCCCACATTTCTAGCAGTTCATGAACCAGCAAGTTATGGGCTAAGTAGAGGGTGTCAAGGGGAGACTTCCCACAGTAGTAACAAGACTATAAGACCATTAGGTTCTTGTGGGTTTTTTCGGGCTATAGAGCCATGTTCTAGAGGCATTTCTCCTGACGTTTCGCCTGCATCTATGGCAAGCATCCTCAGAGGTGTGAGGTCTGTTGGAGTTAGGACAATGGGTTTATATATCTGTGGAATGGCTGGGGTGGGGCAAGGAGCTCTTCCCTGCTGCAGTTAGGGGTGAATGTTTAGCTGATCACCTTCATTAGCATTTGAAGGCCTGCCTGAGCCTGGGAAAATCTCTTGCTGGGAGGTGTTAATATGTGCCTGGTTTTTTCCTCTCTGTTGTTTTGCTGTTGTAATTTTAGAGTTTTTTAATTCTGGTAGCCAGATTTTGTTCATTTTCATGGTCTCTTCCTTTTCTGTTGAAATTGTCCACATGCTTGTGGATTTCAATGGCTTCTCTGTGTAGTCCTGACATGGTAGTTGTGAGAGTGGTCCAGCATTTCTGTGTTCTCAAATAAAATGCTGTGTCCAGGTGGTTCATCAGGTGCTCTGCTATGGCCGACTTCTCTGGTTGAAGTAGTCTGCAGTGCCTTTCATGTTCCTTGATTCATGTCTGGGCAATGCGTTTGGTGGTACCTATGTAGACTTGTCCACAGCTGCATGGTATACGGTAGA